CCTACCAATTCTGTAACAACAAAAAGCCAAAAATGCTTTTAAAAGAAAAATCGGAGGAAAAAAGTGGGAAATTCATTTTATAGAGAAAACTGATGCATTTTCTAAGAATTCTGATCATTCTGTGAAATGGGAAAAATTCTTATCATGAAAAAATTCAAAAGATATTTTTAATTAATTACATAGCTATTTTGCTTTTGGTAAAAACTGTTTTGTAAACTGTGTTTTAGAGCATTATTCCTTGCTTATTTTTCAGATTCAAAAAAAATTGTATAATATGCGGCCAAAATGGAACTTTATAATATGACAGTGAAAAATAAAAATGCTTTAATGTTATTTCTTAAATATAATTTCAATATATTACTATTATTTTAATGAAATTTGTCAATGTTAAATGTTCTAAAAAATCATCAAAAATTCACAGATCTCGGAATTAAAAATTTTCTATAGAAAACTGATCTTAAGATCGCCAAAATGTTGATAATCGCCAAATTTAGAACCGTTTAATAAAAGCATTCCCATCCCCAAAAACAGAAAGTTGTTTTGAGAGCTTTTCATTACAAAAAATGAAATAATTTTGAAATGTTTATGTTTCACTTCTTGCTCAGAAACTCGAGTATCCCACCATTATTTATATTACAAATAGGAACAAATTATAACTCATGAACCCATTCAAAAAATAGACATATTTGTCAGTGAATCGCCAAAAATATTCCTGCAAAATGCTAATTCACACCCAAAATGGCAGTTGTAAAAACAGACAGAAATTTCAGATGATTAAAATTAAGGACCTTCTGCCAATTTTGGCCAAAATTAAAGACTTTTAAGGACCAAAAATCGAATCCAAAAAACTGAAGTACTTTTAAGGACTCTTAAGGACTGTACGAACCCTGTCTATATATGCTGGTGGTTCTCGAAGGTTCTATTCTCTGTTGCAGCTAAATAAAACTTCTATTTTTTTCCCCCATGTACACACATACAATGAACATATGGGCCAGTTTCAGGCAGAAAGTTCTTAACAAAGGCCCATCAGTGGCTAAGTGATAAAAGCCGCTGAACACTGTTAGTTCAGTCCAGGATTTGAGTCCAGGCGAACGAGCTAGCTGCATGGGCGTTTTAGTGCATAATGGTGGAGCACATAATAAATTGAATAATAATAAATATATTCCTTAACAATGTTATTTTTCCATATAGGCAAGCAGTGCTAGTATTATTTTGCATAATCACATAGTCTAATTCATCTACATTATCTAATTTATCTTATTTCATATTTTACCCAGAGACTGAATTACTTTTTTGCAGAAGCCTTTCTTTTAATTAAGAATGAAACTGTCATCAGTTTGGTGATGTAATAACGAGAAATGCTATTTTAATAACATTTGTAATTTCAGTATTGCTCAGATTTTTAGCATGATGAAAATACGAACTAAATTCCTGCAAAAGTATCTGTTTGTGACAAAACTAGGTATCAGTGTTCATCGATTTTACTTCTCGACCGCTGGTGGGTCTATATAAATAAAAAAATACAGTAAATAAATAAATAAAGTAATAATAATGAATCTGCTTGAAATTTTATGATATTAGTATTAATTTCATTAATTTTTAGTGTCATCAAAAACATATATTTTTATTTATATTTTCTCTTTTTTTGTAATTTTTATATTAATATTGCTGTTTGAAACATGCAAAATGCAATGCAATGCAAATATAATCAATAAAATTTTTTTTCTTCTTTTTGGGTAAAGGGAAATATTAAAAAAAAATGCTAAAGAGTAAAAAAAGAACTTTTATTCACAAAAATGCAAGAAAAAATAATGTAGTTGAAAGTGAAATACTTATGATAGAATGGGAGTAAAAATCAGTAAATTAAAAAAAGAAAAACTGAATAAGAATACTAATGAAAAAGGTAAACAAAACTAATATCACAAAAATATAACAGGATTTGTTGAACATATAAACATAAATATAAGCTGTTTGACAATATACAAAAATGAATGCGACACATGTAACAAAATGAATGCAAATTGCCGATTTATGAAAAAAGAGCAAATAGTTAAATGTTGTTTTCAAGTATAAATTAAAACTGTTAATCAATACATGCAATTCTAAACTCAATTCAGTTTGAAAACAAATAAAAACTGATTAGACTATGTACTGATTTCAGGCGTACTTAGGAGGGATTTGCTGCTAAGGCATATTTTCATTACAATGCAAAGTCAAAATTTAATATTCCACCATTTGATAATTACTTAGCTACAAAATCTCACCATTATATGTTTCCCTAGTTTGGGGAAAAGAGACAGCAGAAAAGAGAAAAAATTCCTTTGTACTATTCCCTAGTTTCTTATCTGAGAATTAACAAAGGCGACCTTAAGGAAAAGTTACAAAACAGTAATAGTTTCCCTTTACAATGGCATCTAAAAGGGGATGGAAATGAATTGGATTGCCCATCCTTTTAAGTGAAACCTTTCCAAAGTCCCCAATCTTTTAAAGGTTAATTGCTCTGGTATATTGTGTGCAAATACATTAATTACTGAATATTATTAACAGTTATGAGGCATTAGGTATTATGATAATCAATAAAATTTTGTTGTGTCATGTTAATATATTGCATATATAGAAATGTTTAATGTTAGACATATATAGAAAAATTCTAGGAATAACCAGGATATGAATTTGCAGTATATTGGAAGCTAAATTATGCTAATTATGTGCAGATATTATTGCATGTATATAGTAGAATTGCATGTATACATAGTACAGATAACCACAGCATTGTGTTATATAAGAAATTTCTTAGCCATTTTGAATAAAAAAAATTATACTTACTTTAAATTAAATAATGATTAAGAACAATTCTGTATAGTGGTTAGTACAGCTAAGTCAGTATAAGTGAATTTAGCCTTTAAAAATATATGAATAAAAAGTGAGCTTAACCTAAAACTGATCAATCCATCAGTGGATCTTCAAAATAAATACATTTAAATAGTTTAAAATTCTTTTATTTTAGTCTCTTAGATAGTGGTAAGAGCTAAATTTAACAACATAGATTACTTATCAAACGAACAAGGTTACATGACATAGTTTTGAAATAAACCAAAATCATTTTAAGAAAAAATTAGCATAAATTTATGCAGGAAAGTCCTTGAGCACAGGCTCATTTTATCGAGAAGGAAACGCATTACATGCAACACAAAATGGAATATGCAGATGCTAATTCGCATGAGAAGGTTGAAACCTTGTATTATCTTCGGAATTCTTCCATAGCCTTGAACAGCAGAATGACCTATGATGAAGTCGTACAAGAACCTCTTCTCCAGACTACCATTCTTTCAGAAATTTAGCATCATACCGTGAGAAAGGTGTTGACTGATCACAAAAAATACTCTTCAGATGGAAAAAGGGGTGGGCAAGATCTTTTCTTCTGGTTTCCACTACGCAAACTCCTTCTTTCACCCCTTTGGGCATCTCACAGAAAAGGTGGCATTTGAGGACATTACCCCCAAAAAAATTCATGTTCTCCACATCATTCTCATATGATCACTGCTGTTTGTCCAAACACATTGCCTCCCACCATTGGCATCTGGGCTCAGGGAATTTATTTGTCATCTGGTTTTGCAGTTATATCCAAATAAGGCAACCCGCTCCATTAATGGTCACTCTCCCATGACAAGTGACTAGTTTGTTTTCCTTAAAAAGCAATCAGCTCCCCGATCTCAAAGGATCATGCATTCTCCCATTCCAAAAAAAGGAAAACCTTTAAAATCGTTCTCCCTTCTTCTAGAATGTTCTTTGCTTAAACTTTATGTGAGTATTATAATTATTATTTGCTTTTATAAATATATATTAACAAAAACCAGTACTTCCAATTAAAAATTTAATATCACGAATTATAATTAAAAAAATGACATAACAGCTGCATGATATTATACAGACACATAATAATAACCATTATTATTATTGACTACAATACTAATTATAATTACTGCTAAAATTAATAAATAGAATTTTGCTATAACAGCATCCTGAATACTTTACTATTATATTTTTAGCATGAAGCTATATAAATATTAATTACACTGAAATAGACATACACAATCAAAGGGCAAGCAAAGGCTTAAATACTTTCAGGGCAGAGATAATTTTACATGATTTTTCATAATCAATAAACCAATGAACTTTATTTATTTTCAAAATGAATATCATCAATTAAAAGAGAAAATTATTAAATTAAACTATAAATATATTTTGTAAAAGATGAAATTACGATGATAAATGTTTTATAAGATAATGTGTGAACATCATGTACATTATTAGTCCAAAGGGATTTGAATCCCGAAGGACTATTAGTTCGTTTTGGCATTTTGCGTCGGACTCATAAATGTCGGTTCACTTTTCAAACTGTTGCCACAAAATGTTAGAGTCCTGCATTATATTTGAAGAAATTAAATAATGAAAAATCTGCATAAATGTATGTATATTTCTCGTATTGTGATAAAACAACGGTACATAGAGTCATCGAATTTTGAATAACGTAATCCTCCAACGAATATGAGCATGTGGAAGACCAAATTTGAAATTTGAAATTTGTTTTATGATCGATTTCCTATTTTTTAAAACTTTGACGAATTTTTGTTTAACAAACTCAAGGATTTCAAAGCGAGCAATGGCAACGTTGTACAGAAAAAAACATTTTTATCTCCAGCGCGTGAGTCTCTGTATCGGAAATTCTAAAGATATGCTCGTTTTTAAAACTATTTTGCGATATTGCTGTTGCACTGGATATTATGGTTTAAGTGCGAGGAACATGATATTTAATAAAGAAAGGTAACACACAAAATGTTAAAAAATGCCCCTTTGGACGTAATTTAAAATCTGAAACATTTCAGATTTATTATTATTATTATTATTATTATTATTATTTTGTGTGTGTGCATGTGTTTAGGAAATAAAAATGTTTCATTGGCAGAAAAGATAATAATAATAATAATAAATGCTAATGGATGTAAAACTGTGGTAAATAAAATCATTTATGCCATTTAAGATGATCATGAAAAGTAAAAGAGAAAATTCATAATGATTGGAATCTATCTATTGTTTTAACAATAATCAGCTCAGTTTTTAAAATGAGTGAAGACTTACTGTAGGTAAGAGTTCTGAGGAATTCTTCACAATACAAATTAGATCCTTTAACATTTTGTAGGCTGCAGTATATGTCATCAAGGGAAGAAGGTCAAGAAGATATGATACCACGGAAAAAATGTGAATTTCCTCTCCACAGTCTTCTTCCTATATATGTTAAAATAATTTATGAAAGTAATTTAGCTTTAAAATTTAATTTGCTTCAGAAATATTAGCTAGACCTACAATATTATATTATATCAGATTTTTTAATTTCACCATACTTGTTACATAAAAAATAAAGAAATATATTAAAAAATAAGCCTTTTTCTCACTCCATGTTGAAACAGAACATTCAAAATGAAAATTGAAATTCAGCAATTTAATTCACTAATATTTGTTTTAATAACAATTTTAGCTTCCTCGATGAAGGGAAGTAACCATAAACCATGAATTACCTCCATGAAACATTATATATGCTGAAATGAATTTCCTAGCATACACTTCTGAAAATGTACCTGTTTTATATGTTGCTCTGTTTCTTTTTATTTCTGGCAAATCATTTTAAAAACTTTAGATCATCTTGCATTTATATCTAAATATAAGATGTGAAACCATCTTATATTCAGGCTAAAATTGTAACTGATTTGACTATTTAAAAAAGATGGATACAGATTATTTTCCCAAATGTTGATCTAGACAAATATTTCCAGTAAAAATTTTTTTTCTTAGAATAAGTGTGTATTTAATTATGGCAAAGCACACTAGGGCTATCTGCCTAAGGGGAGGGATGTCTTTGTGGAGGACTTTCTAAGGGAAACTGGCTTGTATACACATTACACATGGGGAAAACCATGAAAACACCCATGCAGCCAGCCCGTTCACGGGATTCGAACCTCGGACCGAACTACCAGTGTTCAGCGACTTCACCGCTCGGCCGCTGGTGGGCCTTTTTCTTAGAATAAGATACACACTTTTATTAAAACAACTAATATAGGAAATACAGAGCATTCTGTACCTAAAAGAAAAGACTTTTTTAAATGCCCCACAAATAGTTCCACTCGGTAAAATATATATCATATGCACTTCTGTAATGCTGAGAAATTGCTTTTCAGAAACCACTATCAAAATGAAAATACTAACCTGTGTAATTTCTTCACAAACATGTTTGTTTTTCAATACTTGTGTTTAGCTTTGTAAAATGTGCATTTCGTGTGTGCATTTTTGCTTGCACTAAAATCTGTTTTAGGTAATTTGTTAAAAATAGTTGTTAACATCTGTTGCTCAATTCATGAGTTTCTTGCCTTTTGGGGGGACACAAAGCTGCATAGATATGTACAGAGAATTTCTGAATTTTATGTTTAAAGCATTTACTTGCTAGCACTTTCAATTGATTTTCCCTCTCTTCATACGGTTTGTTCTTCAAGAATTACTATAGACTTTTCAAGGGAGAATAATTGCAAGTTATCCATCTTAGGAACTAAATGAGTTGCATAATTTTGTTTTGAAAATTTTAGATAAAATGTTCAAATATTATGGAGATGCACATGGTATTACGCTTTAAAAAGTTAAAACGAAAATGTCTGCACTTTTAGGTGCAAGATTTGGGAAAATATTCCAAAAAATATTTACTGGCTCACGTCACTCATCAAGCTTAAAAACTAATCAAAGCTAAAAATTTTAGACAGCAACAACAAAGGAAGAGCTGCTAACTTTGACAATTAATAGTTCTACCCTGGGTAATCAGCAAACACACTGTTATGCTTTTATTTTTTAATGAAATGTTCAAATAAATGTTTACAAAGCCCATTTTAGTGAATTTTGTTAGAAAAGGTTTAATTCACAAATATCAAAGCATTACAAGTTTAAAGCAAAGAAGGTATAATATAACTTAAATACAGAGAGATATAAAATAAAACTGTTAAAAGAAACAATTTATTTTATTATAATGTTAGTTAAACTTACATATTTTAAATTCAAACCATTGAGATAAAAGTTAAAGCCACAATTAATCCAACTTACAGTATTAACATCTGAATCTTGTAATATCTTCCTGTGAATAAAAGAAAAAATAATAAATTACTAAACAACCTTCTTTATTTCAAACAACCTATAATACAGAAAAATTTCAATAAAGTTTCAACATAAAATAATAACATAGATATAGGATGCCCAGAAAGTAGTACTATTTTTAAAATAAATGAAGAATGAAAGAAGTTATTTGAATAAGAACTTTTTATTTTGAAACTAAATAATTTGGCTATGGTTTAGACCATTCTTTGTACTACAAAGGGAAAAAATAATTTGGTGTATCTTCATAGTATGCTTCTGCCATTAATCCACTGAGAACTGTGATTATTGCAGTCAAGTTTAGAAGAAATGCAATTAATTAGCTGAAGTTCTTCATTATCAGCAAAGATCTTTCCATCCAAAATTTCCCTTAATTTTGTGAAAAGATAGTGAAGGCCAGCATAAGACTACAGAATGGGTGCTTTCATACTTCTTACTGAAAGTTCTGACGCAGGGATGTGGCTTCCATGGATAGTTCTGCATGTATGTGGCAATATCCTACAGAGTATTTATTGCCAGGGAGACAATTAAAAAATTTTATTAGGAAAGGCTTTGTTGATAAGGAAACAGTTCAGGAAAATTACAATGTCAATTTATAATGGATCAGCAGTAAAAGTGTAGGATGAGGAATATAAAAATTTGCCTCACGGTATGATAAGTGCCTCAGATGCCTAGGTAGAATAACAGCCCCAGGTTATGTATTTTTGGAATAAAAAGCTGTTTCATAATAATATTTGCTTTCTTTTGAATTATTTTAATTAATTATTTTTTAACTATTTTTCACTGCATATTATTTTTATTTACAGGTAGATATTTTCACAATGATAAAATACTTATAATACAAGTATTGTTATTTATACAACATATAAAATAATACAAAACTATACACAATCACAATTCATCAGTCTAACAAGATAAACATTTAAAATTAAATATATAGTTATAAAATACAGTATGATACTTAGAAATTTTTCCCAAAAGTGAATACATGTCACTATACTTCTGCATAAAACTATTTTGACAGTATAATATTATATAAAACTTTGTTTCGTATAAAATATTTTTTCAGACAGCAATTGCTGGCAATGCTACATGTAGTATAATTTATGGCAATTGTCAGTTTTAAGGTTGATCAAAGGTTATCTTATGATTTCTTACAAACAAAAATGATTTCACTATTCATATTACTTGCTTTTCAGTCTATTACATTGTTGGTGATGAATATTGCCAAGCTTCGCTCTTAATCACTGGTAAAACCAAGAAATACCTAACTTATCCCCCCCTCATTTTTGAGATTTTAATATAAAAACTTACTTATTAGATAAATTTTTTGCACAAATCATATTTCGGATGATAGCACAAACTAAAAGACTATAACTCTGAAAAGCTGGAGATGTATGCCGTTCACAAGCAGCTATTATATCTTTAACTTCAGATTTCAGTATTCCCTGCAAGTAAAAAAAATTCTAGATAAAAATGCAAGAAAAAAGGGCAATTATCATTTAAAAAAATAACTGACAAAAGTAACAGATAACAAAAAGAAAAACATTAATAAATATCTTATCACAATTATTTTAATTATTATTTGATCAGAAAATGTTCAAACTGTTACAATTATCCTTTTCTTAAAGTTTCTGTAATAATACTGTTGCATGCTAACTAATTGCGGTAGACCTCCTGCTCTACAGCAATAATATATACTTGTTTCTAGAATGTTCCATAAGTAAAAATGTATTAAATTTACAGTGAAATCCCACTCGTTTCCTGTAAAAGTTTTTACTTTCACATTTCATACTCTTTAATCTTCCCTAGGATAGATATCAGTTATTCTTCCTAAAGACCATTCACATGAAGGAAAATTATCCTCTTTTAAAACAATCATGTCTCCTATTTTAATGGTTTTCTGAAATTTCCAATGTGATCTTTGTTGTTAAATGGCTTAGGTAATCCAAATATCATTTTTGTCAAACGTTCTGAAATAAATCATTTATTTTTTGCCATTTGCTTAAAGCCTGTTCTCATTGGTGGCTGTTAAATCTGGCTCAATTATAGAAGTAATTGAAAGTGGGCAGGGGTTACTGAAGTAGCAGCTTAAGGGTTATTTAAATGGAAGTTCACAGAACAAATTTCGTAAATTAAATATGCAGGTATGACATAACTTACAAGTTAAAATACATTTACATTTTCAGAAGTTAAATGAAAATAATGAAACTAAAAGAAAACTTCTCATAGGTAAAAACATTGTAATAGTTTATTTCATAAAATGGAATGTTATAAAACCATAATATTGCAATATATCTTTAAACTGAATCTTCACTGAATTTAGGTATGTCACTTATGCTATGCTTTTTTTCAACTAAGAGCATGGCTACAGCGACAGTGATTAGTCTGTCCTTGTTCATAAAGCTTCTTAAAAATGTCTCTTAGAGTTGAGAAGTAAGTATGAACTTCAGCAGTGGTCACTGGAATAATAAATAGCAACAATTTCTAGGTCTCCAAAAATACAGACGGTAACTTGTTTTCTATAATAAATGGTAAACGACTAATGGAAGCAGTCATATTTATGAAATGTAATCTTTTGTAAATTACAGCTAGTTCAGTTTTCAGATGACCCTTCTATAACATTAAAAAAATGAAATGTTTAAGATTTTAAATTATGTCCAAAGAGGATTTTTTTTAACATTTTGTGTATTAACTTTATTTATTAAATATTATGTTCTTTGCACTTAAACCATAAAATTTAGTTCAATAGCAATGTTGCAGAATAACTTAAAATGAGCATATCTTTAGAATTTCCGATACACAGTTCGACGCACTGGAGATAAAAAGGTTCCCCTCCCTAAAGTGTTGCCATTGCTTGCTTTTAAATCGTTGAGTTTGCTACTCAAAAATTCACTAAAGTTTTACAAAATATGAAATTGATATAAAACAAATTCCAAAATTTCAAATTTGGGATTTTAGATGCCCATATGCGCAGTAGGATTACATCATTCAAAACTGGATGTCTCTAAATACCGTTGTTTTATCACAATGCGAAAAATATAAATACATGTATGCAGATTTTTCGTTATTTAATTTCTTTAAATATAATGCAGAACTCTAACATTTTGTGGCAACAGTTTGAAAAGTGAACAGACATTTATAGGAGTCCGACGTGAAATGCCAAAACAAAAGTAATAGTTCTTTGGACTAAAAACAGTTGTTTGGTCAAGAAACGTTTTCTCGTACTTCTGGAATTTTGTATCTTCGAGGAAAGAAACAGCAAAGTAGTAAGGAGGGAGAATAATCTTTCTTTTACTTAAATCATGATAAAATTGCATATATATCTTTAGCTACTATAATTCTACTTATATTTTCTCTCTTCCTTTTTCTCGAAGTTTCAAATGATTCGAATATCTTCTCTGTCACTGTGTCCATTGTCTTCCTTTCTTTCTTTAATGACTGCTGGGAAACATTTACTCGTTTTCTAATGAGTGCTGGACACATTAAGTATTTTCTGAAGCTGGTTGTATAGCACATCAACATGTGGCATAATATGATTAGTTTGAAAACTCCTAGATTTAGGGAATCCTCGCTTTCCTCATATCTTAAAGTGCAAGCTCAAATGCACCACAAAATAGAATGTAATCAATAATTTTTCTTAGAGCATGATGTTTTTTGGTAACTTTCTCAATGTGTCTTTTAACATTTGAATGAAATGCACTGTTAAGTTGTTGGTGAATATCCACCTTTCCTAGAATTCTAAGAAGGAGCTTAAATGTGATTGTGCATTTGTAATGAGTATTCATGCTTCTTTATTTTCTATGTTAGATGTGATAAATATCATAAGTTATCCAACTTGAATCACCATTCTGTTTTGCAAACAGGTGACATGGGAAACAAAACAGCCTGTTAGTTGATCCATAAACATTTCTTATATGAACTGGATTTGAATTCCCTTTTGAAATCTATAGTTTTACATTTCATCACCTGGAGAAAGTTCATTTCAAAGACAATGTTGACAAATTTAATTGCATTAGTTCCAAAACACTGATTTTACAAAGTGCTATCTTAATTGTTTACATTAGTTCATAAAAATATATCTATCAAAAAATGATAATAAAAAAAAAAAAAAAAAAAGAATAAAAAGGGAAAACGAATTATCTAAACAAATATAGCAAACAAAGGGAGAATTTGGATGAGATAACTGCAAATAATGTTAGCTCTCAGACACTGAAGAAGTGCGAATGGAATGGTATCGATGTCTTTCCCCTCCCACTCCTCTGTCCTCATAAAATGTTTTAAAGGGCATTTCTTCAATCTCATGTGCAATCAAGGAAGAACCAAGCCTTATGTGCTATAATAATCTGCAATACGGTATTAGAGTATTTTAGCTATGTATTAGCATATTTAAAATGGGGAGAGAAGCTCGTACTGAAACTTGACAAAAATCTTGGTATTGTTTTTAACATTATTTATTTTTTCTGTTGGGGGGTTCATGGGTATATTAGAACGAATTAATGTGTATATGGGACCCAAAAGAAATTGCACGAGTTCACGTGTTCACTCTTCTATTTGTGTGCACAAATAGAAGAGCTGACACTGAGTTAGTGCATTTAAATCCTCCATGTCAGCAGTCAATGTAACCGAAGGTCTAGAGTTTGACATTCTCTCTATTTGTACAGTTAAGGTTAAAAAGTCATCATACTAAATTTTTGACTCCCTGAGACTCTTTTCCCATAATATTTAAAGGATTTTACACCTGCCTCCCAAAGACCTCCAAAATTGGAGCTCGAGGAGGAGAGTATTGCTAGTGAACGTTCTCTGAACTCATATATTTTGAAAAAAGGTTATCTGACTGATTTGCCAGCTTGAACATCTGTTTTAACTGTGCATTTGCTCCTATAAAGTTTGTTGTATTGTTTGTGTATAGCTTACTGCATTACCGCTCTTCTGGACACAAACTGCTTAAGTACACCTATAAAGGCAGCATTTCATAGAAGTCAAATTCATGACCAATTCCAAATGTATGCCTTGGTTATGAAACAGATAAATATACGTACATAAATTTTATTACAGATTCATCCCCTTTCTCTGATTTTTTATACTTAACACCGAAAGGAACCCAGAACTCTACTTCAGTAATACTGAATGGATAGTTTTGAACTATTCCATCCCTTGGTAAGCTAACCATTAATTTTTGTGTTGACTTAGGATAAGCTTTAAAGAAAATTATACACTTATGCTATCTTTCTGCACACTACCAAAAATTTTCCCTTTCTTTATATAATATAATAAAGAATTACATCTAGTAGGTAAATAGTTTACATAATAATATTCAACTATAATTTCAGTTAACTTATGATTGGATGGTAGAAGAATTGGGAATTTTTTATCATAATTTATATCACTCTGTTTAAATTTCCCACCTACTCTTAACAATCCAGCTTCATCAATGCAAGGATGCAAATTATGTATCTGACTCTTTGAAATTTACTACCTCTGATTTTACGAATTTAACTGATTTCACTAGAACAGTCTTTGGATCACAGCATCTGGGATATCTGTGCTAGGATATTCTTGCATAGAAAGGCACTCAGGTCCACAAAACCACAGATTACAGTAAGTCCAGCAGGTTCTACTCTACATGAGATCTAATCTGCAGGATTACATTTTGATGGAACATGTTTGCAATGCTGAACATATGACATTTCTTGAATGGTTATTACTCTGTTGGCCACAAAGATTTTTAACTGGTGAACATCCTAGTATAACCACCTACACAATCATTGAATTTCTCCAATAATAGAAAAAACTTTAATGTCCAACTTTAATGCTATATGCACTTTTCTCATTAGTTTCACTAAGAGAACCATTACACATAACTCAAGACGTGATACAGTGACTTTCTTTATGAATGTCACCCTGGATTTGATCGCAATCATTTTTATCTTCATTTCACCATTCGCACCAACTAATCTGGCATACATTACTGCCCCATAAACCAATTCAGAGCTGCTGTGAAGCCATGCAAATAAATTCTTACTGGATCTTTTATTATGACGAATCTCTCAATCTTCATGTCATTTATTACATGTAAAGGCTTCAAAAATCTTTGACACATCTTTTAAGTTTCTTCTGGTAAAATGTTATTCAAATCTATCTTCAGTAGCCGGAACTTTTGCATAAATATCTTTGCTTTTGATATAATAGGACCTAGCAATCCTAATGGGTCAAATAAATGCACTATCATTGACAATACAGTTCTCCTAGAGTTCACAATTACATCCTCATGTTTCCCCTTAACTGAAAAATAATTTTCCTTGCGATTCCAATACTCTTAATATTTTGTCTCTTCAGTTTTTAAAAATGCGTAATTTGACTCGCTACTATTCTTAAACTCATGATTATTGCTACACCGCTTGAAAAAGCTCATGCCTCCCTTTTTTGAACATTTCAGTTAAATTAA